GTTTGTGCCGGAGCCGGAGGGCGGATGTCCCGGCGTCCCGGCTCTGCGTGGTTTTGCCCTGTGGAGTTACAGGATCGCAGAGACGCCCGGCTGGGACGGACCTCGTGCAATAAAATCCCAGCGCCGCGGGGTCACATCCAGTCCGACCCCGGCCTGGGACTTCCCCGTACGGGCCGAGATCACCCCTGCAGCGCTGGGCACATCTAGCTCGGGGCAGGATCAGGCCTGACCCATGCTCTGTGCACCCTGCGCCCCCGCCATCTCCAATCTTGCACCCGCGCGAAGCTGAGCCCCCTTTTTCACACGCGTTTTGCACGAGGGGCGCCAATCGAGTGATGCCTGAGCAGCGGTGACTGGTGCCCGGGGCGGGGGGCTGGTTCTGGGGCCTTCTTGCAAACCCTCCCCGCTCCGCTCGCGACACCCAGGCCCCCAAATCTGGGCTGTGTCCCCCCTCCCCACTCCAGGACACACGCGCGGGCGTTAGCAGGGCCCTGCCGCCCCGTTCCAGACAACGGGGCTAGAGCCTGGGGGGTCGTCCAGCCCTTAAGAGACGCGGGATCAAATCTCCTCCCTGCCACAGACTTCCCCGGCGGCCTCTGTCAAGTCTTTGGGGCCCGAGCAGAGGAGGGAGAAGGCAGCTTTGCGGGGTACGGGGCTCCCTCCAACACACAGGTGCTGCGGCACACAGGGGAATCCCCGCTTCGCTTGCTGTGACATACAGGGCACATGACACACAGACGAACCACCCGGATGCCGGCTGTGCTCGAACCGCAAAGCCAGGGAGGCTGGCAGGCCCCCGGCGCCCCCCGCCCTCCATACTTCCTCCCCTCCCGGGGATGAGAATAGGACCCAGGTGTCCTGGTATCCTGCTCCCCCACCCCCACGAGCGGCTCAGGGAAATCAGCCTGCCTGGGTTGTGAAATTAGGAGCAATTTGGCGCTCTGCAGATGTTTAATAAACTGGTGATTATTAATCACCGTGACCTTAATATTCTCCCCCGCTTCCCACGCGCGCACACACGCGCTTGGTCGGGCCTCGGAGCCGTTTCGCTGCCGGCAGCAACGCGGCTAATTGCGCTAATGCGATTGATTAGGAAATTAGCCCCCAGGCAGTGCGGGCCAACAGCTTGATTGGAAAGCTGGGGGGTGGGGGGCATGCTCCCAGATGAAGATCCAGGCTCCGGGGCCCGGGCAGGACAGACGGGGGGTGTATTCCAGCCACGACCCCCCGCAGCCCCCAGTAAGGGGGGTACAGATGGGGGGGACCCATCTTCCTGGGCCATACGGGACCTCAGAGGGCCTGAAAGAAGGCAGGGTGAGCGAGGAGGGTAGGGAAGATCAGGGTTCAATTCCCATCTCCGCCACCGCCCTGCGGGAGCGACCTTGGCCAAATCCGTTATAGGCCCAGGCAGGCCGCGTCTCCGCCGCGCTGCGACACCGGGACGAGGGGAAACCCTCCGATTCTCACACGCGCAAGTCAAATCGTCTCCTTCGGGCCCTAACCCCCGCTGGTCCGTTTTGACCCCGTGAGGTGCCCGACGAGGGCGAGCAAGGAGATGTTGAATCGGGATCCTCGAGAAGGGGGGGAGCTCCAGGGCTCCCGTCCAGCCCGACCCTCCGCCTGGCGCAGGATCCAGCAAATAGGATCTTGAAGGATCTGATCTGTTGCACCCCAGGTGAAAAACTGGGACTCCCCCCGCAACTGGGCGTGGGAAACTGCCCCGGCCCCCTGCCCTCCGTGCCTCAGTTTCCCCCCAGCTCCAGCTCCAGCTCCAGCGTGGGGCTCCGCGCCTGCAAAGCCGGCGCCGAGATGTGCCCCATCGCCAGCGCTCGACGGCCCGGTCCCAGCCCCGGGTCACGCGGCACCGCGCAGAGCCAGGACTCCTGGGCTCTCGCCTTGACCTCGGGCCTCGGGCTGCCCCGACCGCGGCCGGCGGGGAGCGACCCTGGCCTGCTCCCTGCCGTCGGGAGAGGAGGATTATGTTAATGCCGATGCCGGCGCTGGGATGTGCTGGGGGCGGCCAGGGCACGTCCGCGTCGTGATCCGCCGAAGGGGCGAGGGGGTCACCGCACCGCTCTGCCCCGCTCCCCCGCGGGGACAGACTGGGGAGGCCGGACTCGGACGTCGAGGTGAGAAAGGAACCAGGCGTCCGGTCCCCCGCCCCGGCCGGGCTCGCGGTCACCGTCACACGGAGAAGCTGAACCCGGGGTCCCGGCCGCTGCCCCCCAGACCCCATTCCCATCCCAGGAGAAGACCCCTCGCCGGCCCCCGTGCGCAGCTCTAACCACTCACCCCCGTCCCCAAAACAGACCCCTGGTGCCCCGACTCCCCGCCTACCCCCACGCTCAGCCTTTATCCAAGCACCGCTCTCTTCCCACCGAGGGAGCCGGTGTCCCAGCTCGGCCTCGCCGCCCCCATGCAGGGAGCCCAGGTGTCCGGCCCCAGCTGCAGCCGCCCACGCGGCCCGGCCCCGCGAACCCCACAGCCCGAGCCCCGGGCGCTGCACGCCGGCCGTGCCAGGGAGGGGCGGCGTGTGCTGGAATCCATCGCGGCATCGGGGCCGGTCCGCGTGCGAACAATAAGCAGCTGTTTATCCCGATTTCAGGGAACACATGGTATTTGCCTGATAATTACTGCGCGGGCTAATGACAGTAATCAGAAATCGCTGGGAGCCTGTATTCTTCCCAGGCAGTTAATCTGCTTAATTACACACTTGGAAGCTGCATTATTGCAATGGTGATTTATCGCGGCGCTCATCAAAGCTATTTTCTGTGCGCTCGGGGGGCGCGGGCGTGTGCTGGAATGGGGCGGGCGCTGCCCCTTCGGGGGGG